AGAGTGTCTGGTTGTCAGTGTCAAAGCCTGACTCCCTGCCTGACCATTCCAATTTGCACCCATGCCTCATTGTCCCTGACCTACCTTCTGACTCGCTCTCTGATGTCCAGAGCGTCAGGTTGTCTCTGATCAACTGCAAGATGAGAGTGGAATCCTTGTAGGTATCCTCCCTCAGGCTATCCAGCTCAGCCAATGCATCATCAAAAGCCTTCTTGGCCACCTCGCAAGCTTTATCCTTGAAGTGAGAAACAAATGGAAGAAGTGTAAGTTTCATCTTCATCTCAACTGAAAGAGATAGGACACGAGGCATCTCAAGTATTCAAAGCATTTCTTATACCTGAATTCAACATTCTTACGGGGCCAAAACTATGTCTCTGTTGAGAATTATCTCAATGCCACCATTCATTAGAATAAACCACAATCATTTAGAAATCGGAAAACAAAATGTAATTAACGGATTTGAGAAATACCAGTTAGATAAACAAGGCCAGTCAATTCAATGGCGACACTGAGGTATCAAGAGAAGCAAAACACTGTTTGTATCCAAAACCTGTGGCCTGACAAACATACCATATAACCAAAGCACTGTAACACAAAACACAACGTACACACAATCTCGTGGGAAAAAGGGCCTAAATATTAGTTCAGTGTCACCTTAAAATTTGAATAATTGAGAAATCAAACTTTCTAGGATTTTTACAAGAATAAAACACTGTTTGTATCCAAAACCTGTGGGCAGACAAACATACCATACAACCAAAGCACTGTAACACAAAACACAACGTACACACAATCTCGTGGGAAAAAGGGCCTAAATATTAGTTCAGTGTCACCTTAAAATTCGAATAATTGAGAAATCAAACTTTCTAGGATTTTTACAAGAATAAAGTTTTGAATCTTCTGAACTACCAAAACATGAAGTATACACCTCAATTAATAACAGTGTAATCAGGTTGTGGTAAGGACTTGACATTTGGACAGATTCTCCTCTCCTTCCTTCCATACCTGTTTTCCCATTATCTCGTAGTAGAACACAGAAAAGTTGAGGGCCAGTCCCAGGCGTATTGGGTGCGTGGTGGCAAGTGGTGAAGCATCCTCACATGCACAGCAGTAGGCTTCCTGGGCCTTTTTTGTAGGCTCCTCTCTCTCTGCCTGTGGGCTGACCTCTGCCAGGTAACGATAGTAGTCTCCTTTCCTGCAGGGACAAAGCGGGCCAGACTGGTGTCAAACTCTAAGTCATAACAACTAAATGAGAGTGGCGTGGTGGTTGGGGTTTGTGGCTATCAATCACAGGGTTGGCGGTTCGAATCTAACAGCTGGTTTACAGATGTAGCAATCTTGGGCATGTCACATGACCCCTACTAATCTCACTTCACCTGTCAGTATAAATGGGTACCTGTGAGGGCAGAGGGCAGACATGTGCTGATACTGGCTGGGGAAATTGACCTAGTGGCCTAAAGAGCAGACGGGTAATAAAAAAGCTCAGATCCAAAACAAAAAAGCTGAAATCAGCTAAAAAGCAGAGAAATCTAACCCCTGAGATCATCAATAACTTATCTCCTTTCTCGATGGTATTGTCGACAAGTTGCAGTAGTCGAACAGCTGTGACTAGTCTAGTCGTGTGGGCCCGGTGCAGGTGCATCACAGCCGCGACTAGTCTAGTCATGTGGGCACGATGCAAGTGCTTCACAGCTGTGACTAGTCTAGTCATGTGCCCTGTGCCGGTGCATCACAGCTGTGACTAGTCTAGTCATGTTGGCACGATGCAAGTGCATCACAGCCGCGACTAGTCTAGTCATGTGGGCCTGGTGCCAATGCATCACAGCTGCTACTAGTCTAGTCATGTGCCCGGTGCCAGTGCATCAAAGCCGCGACTAGTCTAGTCATGTGCCTGGTGCCGGTGCATCAAAGCCGCGACTAGTCTAGTCATGTGCCTGGTGCCGGTGCATCACAGCCGCGACTAGTCTAGTCATGTGCCCGGTGCCAGTGCATCACAGCTGCGACTAGTCTAGTCATGTGCCCGGTGCCGGTGCATCACAGCCGCGACTAGTCTAGTCATGTGGGCTTGGTGCCAGTGCATCACAGCTGTGACTAGTCTAGTCATGTGGGCTTGGTGCCAGTGCATCACAGCTGTGACTAGTCTAGTCATGTGCCCGGTGCCAGTGCATCACAGCCGTGACTAGTAGAGTCATCACTATTTAATTTTTGTGATGTGTGATTCCAAATTTCTCTGTATTTCCTCTACCATCGACAGGCTGATTTTAAACTGTACGGTGCCCGGTTGAATTCATTGACCAAAATAGGGATCATTTGTTGTTTCTGTATTTAATTTCTAATGTATAAACATTTGTGAAATAAAAAAGTTTTGTACGCATATGGTAATAATTACTTTCTGTGCAAAGTGAATTACAAATATTTTATTTGTTATAAGCTTTCCTGACGTTGTTTATCCCTAACTGTCCCAAATCCTCCAATTTCAATATGATTTTACATACATCCTAGGGGGTTATGGTTAAATAAAAATAGGGATTCATCCCTCTACTTGGAAGAAAATGGAAGTGTCCAAGTCATGTGAACGTGACTGACCATCCATGACGCACCTCACCTGTCTACATGCATCACGCATGACGTAAACTCATTAGCATTCAGCTGAACTATTCATATGAAATTTATAGTAGTTGAATTTTTGTCCTACTACCAAGAACACAGAAGTGGTTTGGAATTTTGGATGGAAGCTGTCAAAATGGAGACTCTCAAAAGTGACAACACTTGTGTTGATCATTTGTAAAAATATATCTGAAGCTGTTGATTCTTAAAATTGTACAAAAAACTGAAGTCGCGATGGCATGTATCGCTCAGAAGCGTGGCAGGACTGTGCATGAGTCGGGTCCGCACGGGCAACGAACCAGAAGACCATGTGGACATAAAATTTCTCTAAAATTTGCTTCGCTACTTGAGTCTATAGTCTCTTGTGAGCGCAGTGCAAGCACAAAATAGAGACATTAAAACACACACAGAAAATATAAAATCATGTTCATGGATCAAATCTGGCACTAATTTCCTTCTCCATCAATGTTTATTTGACATTTTACGAACATCAGACTCGACAACTGAAGGGAGCATGCAGCCTGATTCAGCGCGCGCAGCACGCAGCCCAGCCATAAACAGGTCCCTGTCCTTCACTGTTGCAATCGTAGCACTGTGTCGCGGGTCAGGCGCCAGTCGGACGTAAACGCTGTGTGCTTTTCACCTCTGCAATGTTGTTGATAGCACTGCGGAACGATTAAGGTTTCCTTCCACAAAGTGGTAGTAAGAAAGCAAAGTAGGAATATCAGAAGCATTTCTAACGAGATTTTTATCTTAAAAAAAGGGTCATATTTCATTCACAAAAGCGTAAAAGTCCAACCATCCAAACAGAAAAAGTAAAACACAGTGTGACATCATCCAAAATGAACCCCATGCTATGTTATGCAACCGCGGACATGGTTCTTTAACAGATAAATAAACAATGCAAGTAGTCGCGACTAGTCGACTATTTATTGATAGTCACCACGACTACTTAAATTCACTAGTCGCCCACACCTAATGAACACATGTTGGAACTAAATCAAATCAAACCTGTGATTGGTCGAAAGACAACAGGGCTGGGATCACTGTCATATTGCCTTGAGTAACAGTACTAACAACGTGCACGCTTTAACCGTAACTACCCCAAACCTGCCATACTCCAACAGCAAGTTTTGTGAGGTTTTGGCAGGTTTGGTACCGTACCCGAGGAACTTGTTGTTGAATTTTGTGAAAAATCATGCAAAAAAGGATTTTCAGTTATTTACATTTTTAGACAGATTAGGTATCAAAGATTTCCTCTAGCTATGCAATTTGCACAAGAAAATCAAGCAAAGGTGATAAAAAGGAGGATTTCTGGAGTGAATTTGTTCCAATCTTTTCTGAAATTTATAGTGTTTACCTTTTACATGACGAAATTTTGTCCATACTCCGAGCGCATTTTTGAGCAGTTCGACCGTTGTGTCTGTAAAGTTTGGTACTGTTGGAAAGGGCTTTCCCTACAGAGCCTATTTACAGCGGTGATATCATAGACTGGGTGACCTCTAGCCTGTTCCAGGCCTCCAAAAGGAGATAAACAACTATCCTCTGTTATGTTGAGAAGCTCCTTTTCCAAAAAATATAACAATATTTAACTTCTAGGAAACTCTGTTTGAAGACATTCTCTGAGTTTACTTTGTTACGTCATTACAATACCTACCCGTAAATATAATGTTGCTGTGGTCATTTAGATGGAGAACGATTATGGAGCACTGGCCTGTGCTCTTTTTCAATGCCGTTTTTCTCTACAAGTAGTTTTGACCACAGCGATGTTTCCCGTCTTCTTTCTGGCATCGTATTTTCGGAGCAGAGTTGCCCATGAGTATAAATGTGGTATCACTAGAAAGCCCATTCCTTTCTCTTTATTTTCATATGCACATCTCAAAAAGGTCATGTCTGGGGATCGTTCTTCATTATGCCATGGCATGCCATTAATGTCCTTTTTTGGTGATTTCTTATTGGGCCATTTTAAATGTGAATAAAAAGGTGCACTTCTCCGAGACACTTAATCTGAAATAGTGTTTGGCAATTCCAGCATTTTTGGAATCAATTCCAATCCATCCAGGAATCGCGATTCCACTCAGATCTGTTTCTAATTTTTACATGTGAAAATGCCATGTTGAGCATACCTGACATTACATGCACAATGCACTTGTAAGTTGTTTCCTGAACACTTGTGTCATTAAAAATTATCCCGTTTTATTGCATCGGAAACATGAAAGATTGATTATCATTACAGGTATTTCATGGAAGCACACCATTTACGGAAAAAGATTATCAATCTACATGACCTGCCTGCTTTCAATTTTTCCAGTTTTTATAGAAGTGACCATGAGTTCTAAAATGCGTATTTGACAGGAAAGAAACATTATGTATGTACCTTTATTTTCATGCCACTAAATACGTATTGGAGAAATATTTATATCCTTAAAGTCCCTAAAAATATGACCTTATTCCACCGACGATGACCTATGATAGTTCTCTCGATTGTAAATTCCATCAAAAATTGGACTGCTCGCGCCACACCACACTGCTTGTGCCTGTTTGTGTAATCGCTGAACATGCCTAAGCTACATTTTTCCTATGTGTATGCCCGCTAACAGCTTCAACATGAGGCTGTGAGTCTTGTTCCATGAGAATTGCTCATTTGACCTTCAATTCACTCAACAGGTTGAGTAGAATTTCTTTCATTTAGGGCAGAAATAAAGGATGAGAAGTAGTCCAAGATTTCTGTTTGGCAGAGTGAATGAGGGTACTTATGGTGCATATCTCACATACTTGAACACGAAGCATCCGCAAAGAAATGCTTGCAGTCGGCCCACAGCCACATGTCCGTGCAGCAACGGAGAGCAGTCGATGCATTCAGCCAAGGTTTTTTAGGGGGAATCTTCCAAAAGCTGGCATCACGGCAATGATCATGAAAATTTTCAAATGCTTCAACAATTATTTGCATTTCGAGTTTTTCATGGTAAAGGAAAAATTAATGTCGGGCTCGGGACTGCATTGTTTAGGGTTTTTTCAGTTCTCAGCAAATGTTTGTAATATGTGACAAAATAGGCCTACTTTCTCCACCACAGTTTGCTTCAATCTTGAAGATTAAAACGCGACTTTGGTCTAGCTGAAGACCTTTTTTTTTCTGGAAGAGTTAAACACTCCAAGGAATGAGTTTCTAATTGGTGTCGATCCATCAGATGTTACAAATTGAGTTTCAAATAACAAATAGAGGGTAATCAGCGAAAAGAAATTTCATTGCAAGGAATTTGGCGTGTGGGAAAACCTCTGATGTAGTTTTCATCGCTCACAATGTAGTACCCAAAAGCTCAGCTTGTTTAGGAGTCACAACTGGCATGCAGCCAACAGTGGGCCATCGGCACGCTGCAGACAAATGGGTTGGAGTACTGCACAGTGCCGCTGCGATTCTGCAAAGCATATGGGCCATGTCTCATCACAGACTTCAGTTTTGGGCAAAGAAAATAAAGCCACGCAGTTGGGGTTCCTTGATTTGGCATAAAACCACACATTTCTTCAAAAATCGACTAATCATTTTAGACAGCAGTCTTTCGGAATCACTGGACTGTCCCTGGAATCGGATCTCAAGGTTATGGAATCAGCCGCAGCGTGGATTTGATTCCTTAAAAAAAAAAATTGATTCTACCCAATTCCAGCATGGATTCGCTCAAGCCTAATCGCAAAGGATGTCAGTGTTTAAACACTGACGAAAAGAATAACATTGCACAAAAAGTCATTCCCTAGACCCCTTAATATAATCATTTCTATCAACACCTTATACTTCTCAAGGCCCTTATTGTAGGTACTTCAATGCAACACCCACTGCTCTTACATTTTGTGGAAGAAGACTTTAGACTCTGTGACGTTCGAATTCATGGCGCTTGGAATGAGGCGTTCATCTAAGATCTTCAGCACATCATAACAAGAGTCCTTCAACTCCTGCTCAATCTGTTCAATCAAAATTACAAAAACCAACAGGGTCTTAAAAAAAACCACAAAAATTGGAAGTGTTTCTGTTGGGAACAGACCAGTTACTTTAGTTTTTTCTAGATAACCTAGTGACATGCTGAACAGTGACGCTGTAAACAATTACTGCACATACAAATTATCCAGTTGAATCAGTTTTGTCAATGAATCCTTTGGAAGTTTGAATCAAACATAGTGAAGTAGAAATAACACCTGGGAAAGGATTAACATTGTCAGGAGTGTGGTCAGAACTTGGGTTTTAGATCATGGTTTAAAACATGGCCAAACAGTCAAGTTTACATGAGAAAAGATCTGATCAGTTGCAGGACTGGGATATACACGTAAAACCGAGTCCAGCGGTTTTTATCCTTGTCAGTGTATCAGTGGCTATGCATCTGAACACTTTACTTTAGGTAAAATCTCATTAAGTCGAATCTCAATAGAATGGAAAAACAATTTGCAGGCATCCAGAGTTGAAATAATATGCAAGTACTGTTCCCAGACACTTTCGTTTTTAGTCATGTCACTCCAACATACAGTAAATACACCCTTCTACATGAACTTGCTATGCCTGGAAAGGATTCCTTCATTTGATTGATTTAAGTAGTGCACTGTTAGTTAAAAACTCATGCCTTTATTCAGATGTTATTCATTCCATCGTAACAGAATCTGCCTTACAGCTGAACTTAACATTAAATTATTTATCAAATTGGCCAAAACTTCATTGCTTCCACAAGTAAAACTTTCGTTTTGTGTCATTGTTTACTATGCTTAGATCAAGATTTTCAACCGATGTTACAGCCAGAGGGAGGTCGAGGACTCTGTTGGATACCAAACAGGCCATTTTGGACACCTTGTTTTGTTGCACATAGGCACGTAAACTGAAGCAACTTGGACACCCTGGACATGCTAAAGTATACAATGGCCAACTTCTGATCCAGAACGTTTCTGGAATCTGTTGGATTCAGACAGCCTGACAAATGGCTGTGACTGCAAGTCCAAATAGCTTGATTTGAGAAAATTTAAAAAAAAATTAAAAACCTTGTTTTTACGTACCTGAAGGCGATAAGATTCTATGACCTGCTGCTTCATACATGTACTTGTGTCATGCTGCTTTTGTTGTATGGAATTGATGATCCGCCAAGAAGCTCGACGGGCTCCAATGACATTCTTGTAAGCAACGGAGAGAAGGTTTCGCTCCTCCGCTGACAGCTCGGGGTCCTTCATCACTATGGCTTTCATGGCCTTCACCATATCTGCATCAGTCCAAAGCAAAATATTGTTGTGGTCTCTGGTTACACAACCCAAACTTGAAAATCATGCAAAACTTCCATATAAAATTATTTATATTGCTTTATAAGGTCAAGTCAAAACATAAGATCTCAGGTGCCAAACCCAGAGCTTAATCATTGTGCACATCATCTTGCTTTTTTTTCATGTTTTAAATACTGGTTAGCACTATCAGCTAACACCCATTTCAGACAGGCTTTCTAGAGTTGTGCCGAACTATACAATTAAAAGCGCCTCGGGTCAACCGTAATAAAATTTTGGTTTCAGACAAGCCTAATACATGTACATACATTTGCATTCGGTTTGGCTCATGAGAAGAGCGACGTCTGAAACCAAGTTGCTCGGATGCCGTTCCAAGTGCCTAAAAGTGTCCATCTTTTGCCTGCTAGCACGCCTGTTCGCTCCTAATTGTTTTAGACATCAAACTTTTGCCGTACTTATTTCGGAATTTGCTTTTAATTTGGTTCGGCATGACTCTAGACCGCCAGTCTGAAATGGGTGTTACCCTTGGGTGTTCGTAACCACAAGGATTCATTTTTCTAAATCAAAACATTTTCTTTAACAACACAACCACTGACTGCACAGGAGTCACACTGCGCAGTAATGACATGTATCGTATTCAATCTGACAATTTCACTTATCTGTCACAAATTAATGCACAAATAAGTAATAATTTTAGATGAAAATTTGGAGCCCCAACTTTTTTTTAAATTTTGAATTTCAAAGTAACGGGAAACGTAAGTGTTGTTTGTTTGGCCTGGAATATCCATGCAGTACAGTACAAGTCACATGGGCATGTGAGACATAAAGATAATAATAAGACATCTTGCAGCAATGATCACGGTTCAAGTGTTTATATTTGACGGTTCATAAATATTCACATTTCTCATGCATTTCTCATCACTGAAGTTTCTCATTTGAAGAATTTTAAAGAATTCTTCGAACAGCAAACACTGGTCACTCACATTTTGTAGGCACAAAAAATTTGTCATTCCTCTTTTAAAGCTCAAGTTATTACAGAATCTCTTTCATGATGCCCGTTGCACAAGGAACTGAAGAAATCGGTTGTGAACATCTGTGAGCCGAGCTCCGCGAGGCTGACGAAGGTTCATTCCGAATGAAGAAATTAAATAAACTGGATTCAAAGCCAGACGCAATGGCAACAGGACAAAGCAACAGTAAAGATGGCAACCACTCTATACTGGGCAATGGTTTTGTATCTCCTTGTTGCTTATTTTCCTTTGAAAGCAGCAATGTACCAAGTGCAGGCACGCGCTTGATGAAGTGACCATTTCACAAATGCTGGTGGCAACTTGTATATATATGTACATTTATGGTACTTGATGGCCTGAATGGTATGATCTACACTGTGTTATCTGGTTGATTAAAAGTAATATCTATGTTAGAAATAAGATAAAAAAAACACCACAAAGTTATGTGGCCAGAATTGGGGAATCAAACTGCATGGCAATGTGAGCCATGCTGGCCTTGTGCACTACAAAGATTTGATCTGATGTCTTCTTATTCTAATTGCGACTGAACTTTGTAAATTTACAAATACCTTGGTATTTTGTACAGTTGACTCTTAGTAACATGAGCTAGGATAGGAGGAGGTTCCAGTTTAGACAAGCAAATTTCACGTACTCTGACCACAGTGTGTACATTCCTCCAAAAAAATCTTTAATGCAAGCTTGGGTAATACAAGATTTCGGTTCAGATGAATGCCTTTTCTGGTCCAGTTGAGTACAAGTACATGTAATTATTAGCAATTTAGCACAAGCATTTTGAAACAACTCATTTTGAAAACAACCATGAATTATGTCATGAGGCAGCAGCCGAGCTAGCAGACCATTCACAATAAGTATGCAGTGTCTGCACGTGCATGCCGACAATTTTATTCCTAAGCAGTGCAACGGCTGGAGTGATTTGGAGGTGTATTCTGAGGATTTTGATCAGGGGTGCGCCCCGAGCGCTTCTGTCAACACCAGGAGAGGTTCTCCACCAGCTCCTGGATGGAAGAGCCCCCCTTGGCTGCCTAAGATCATCATGGCTGGAGCTGCTCGGACAGCCTAGCCTGATTGACTGGATGTGGAATGAGGCAGTAGGACGTGGGTATGACATCAGTGCGACAGAGCAATGCTGTCTATGCGCACCGAGTGAGTGTGTGGTGCAACACATGAGCTATTTTCAGTGAAATGATTTCATGGAAGCAAACCCTATCTGTGAATGCGTCGAACGGTACATGTACATACGTGGACTGTACTAACGAATGAAGTCAAAATATTAAAGGCAAGTCAAATAGTTCAAGTCACTCGGGGTAGGGAATAGCTAGGATCCCAAAAATCTACATGCTATCAATTTGTTCTCAATTCGCTCTTAGTACGCTGCCACCATAGGCATGCAGTGCCTCGATCTGGCAGCTTGTACAATGGCATCAAACACAGTTTTTGAAATGTATTTTCCAACTGCATGGTATAAGAGCTGCACAGCACGCGCAGAATTACCAAGCAACATATGCGGGAATCACTGAACCAGCTTTTGTACGGATCGAGAAGGAGGCTCTGCATGCCTATGGCGGCAGCATGCAAAGAGCAAAAAGGCCTATTTTCTGTTCATATATAGGCCCGAGTCATTTAAATTTTTTATAAACTTTGTACAGAGTAATTGCAGAAGTCAATCAACCTCCGTCATTCTTGAGCCTGTCATCCATGGTCAGGAGGCAGGAAGACGAAACCAGGTTGAAGTCTGAGAGTTGTGGCCGCCCAACTAAAGGACTAGAGGAGGCTCGTCACCTTCACCATTCTGCTGATTCTCAGGCACCTTTTACTCACCTAGCCCATTCTCAAGGCATACCTCTCTCAGCTAGCCAATCCTCAAGCACATTCCTCTGATGTTGCCGATCCTCAGGCACAATTTTTCCACCAGAATGCCATGCCCATGCAGCAATATGCCCCGCTGACACCAACTCATGGTCTCCCTCGAGACCAGGTAAAGAGGTGGCAACCTGGCAAGAGCCCTGTCCGAAACCATGAGAGAGGTACTCTAGTAGATATAGTAGCATCCTCTCAATGATCTTGTTCTGTTTCATGGAGGTGACAGAAAGATGCCGTACTTGAGTTGGACTTGCATGTCCATGGGTTTTGATGACTCCTTTCGTGGGACCAGTAGTCAGTTCAACACAAATGGACGAAATTCTAGTACCCAACCAGTCATAGTTGGGACAAATTCAGGTCTTTTCCGCAGCTGTTTGAGTCGTGTAAGCGACAGGCAGGTTGTAGGTTTGTACAGAGTTTGAACATCAGTGCCACAAGCCGGAAAATCTACAAAGACATGGCTGACGAGGACAAAATTCCCAAAGAAGGCAACCTTGGAACCATGAGGACTAGGTCAAAATGTGTTCTTACCTTTCAGCCTGGTGAGCTGAAATCTGTCAGTGGGTGTTTGCAGAATTTCCTGCGGAAACCAGTGACTGTACTGGTTGAACTTCAGGAAAGACGTAAACTGCCAACCGGGTTAGAAATGACACCTCTTGTCACTCAACTCCCGTTAACTTCAACTTGCAATGTAAATGTTGTTTGTAATCGCACCAGTTGGAAGATTACAGTCCCAGGAATTGTCCTGGGGTAGACGGTTTCATTCCAGAATGGTGTCATGAAGCTCCGAATGTGACGGAGCTCATGAGAGCTTCAAGTGCACATTTCGGTGCCGAGGCTACCTAGAGCAGCATCGTCAACTCCAAGTCCTCTGATCCTGATTTTGACAATCTTCCTTTTGTCTGGGGTTCGATCACTCCCAAAAGGAAGAAACAGATTCTTGACAAGATGAAGTTGAGATCACAGGTTTTCTCACGTCACGAATGGGATTAAGGGCACACAAAACAACCTAAGCACAAGATCAACCTTGAAGATGGCACTCCCATTTCGGGAGTAGGTCTTCACGATGACACAGACTGGTTTTTCGCTCGCTTCGAGACTTGCACCGGATGTAGTCAAATTCCAGGGTCTGATCCAGTATTGCGTTTACACCTGCAAATTGATCCCACACGCGGGATATGAACTGGATCTTATCCATTGCAAGAGGAGGATCAGATCCCAGGATCAGGATTTAATCCTGTGTTGCATTTTACACACGTTTTCCGATCCGATCATCCTCCCCGAAAAAGCAACTTTCCAAAGGTTGATGGAAACTTGCATGTCAGGAATCAACAAGACTAAAGCACTAGTGTACATGGATGATCTCATCATATTTGGTCGATCTCTAAACCAGATGGAAGAGAGACTTATGAGGGTTCTTGATCACCTTGCAGAGTTTGGACTGAAAGTGTCTCCTGAGAAGTGTCAACTCTGTTGTAGGTCTGTGAAGTATCTCGGACATGTGGTCTCAGAGAAAGGTGTGCAGACCGATCCAGAGAAAATGTTTGCTCTGGAGATATGGCTGTGACCTTTGAATGTCAAGCAGGTTCGATCATTCCTTGGTTTTGCAGGCTATTATCGCCATTTCATTTAGAACTATTCTAAGATAGCCCGCCCTTTAAATGACCTCAGTATTGGGTGTGTCTATCCTAAGAAATGGGGCCGCCCAGCACCAAAATCTTGGTGTGATACTCATGCTGGTAAAGCCGATGACCCACTGGGTGAACTTAGGACGCGAGAGTGTGAAGAAGCATTCCTCACTCTGAAGGATCGTCTTGTATCTGCCCCCCTGCTTGCATTTGCAGATCTGCCCAAGCCGTTTGTGTTGCACATAGATGCCAGTCGTGATGGTTTGGGTGGAGTTCTATAACAAGAGCATGATGGCAAACTTCGTCCTGTTGCATATGGTAGTCGTGGGTTGTCACACAGTGAGAAAAACTACCCCGCTCATAAACATGAGTATCTTGCACTGAAGTGAGCTATCACTGATAAATTCTGTGATTACTTGTACATGGCTAAAGGAACCAAAGTGCTGACTGACAACACTGTTCTTT